TAAAGAAAACCCAGACACATACCTGAACTCATGGCTATGATATACACATAAAGAATAATTTGCTCCAGTTAAGAATCAAACATATGAGTACGACAGGACACATTTTATGGTGAAGTATGTTACAAAAAAGGTATAACAGTGACCATGCAATAAAAAGGCCTAGAAGTTTAGGTTAAAGAAACACCTGATAACTAGACAATATCGTCAATATGTCTACATCGATCCATTTTCTAACTGCTTTCCCCAATGCAGAGCTTATCCTGGCAAGCAACAGGCACAAAATGGGTGCACCTTGGACACGGACACAAACACGCAGACCGATTTTCCCAAAGGCCAGTTGACCTACCAACATGTCTTTGGACTGTAGGAGGAAATAGGGGAAACCCACTGAAACACAGGGAGAACATACAAACTCCACACAGATAGTAAACCAGGAATTGAACGCAGAGACTAAAAAGCCAGGCGGCCGCGCTGAACATCTGACCAAGTCCTAACCGAGTGCACGAGCACAGGCTGTTCCTGACACACCGCGGGAGGAGAGGCCAAGCCGAGTCTGAGCCAAGCTGAGCCAGGCTTCCGGAAACCTCTCTCTCTCGGCCAGCAGCAGGTCTGAGAGACAGCACGGGTGAGAGAAACAGCTGCCAAGACTTCGTCGATTTTCGATGGAAAACAGTACAGTATGCCTGGATGCCGCTGCCATTTTGTGGAAAAATGACCTCATGCTGCCAGATGCAGATGAAGCCAGTCCCAGAGAGAAATATTTTAAAGGAAGCAAAAGCAAAACTGAGCACTATCTTCTGCTTGTATTACTGGGTTAGGTTAGCCTGTAGCTATTACCTGGGCCAGACATGCAAGGCACAAACTGTAGGCAAACCCTCACCGCAGAGACAGAGCTCAAGAGTGTAGTTAACACATCCATCGACCTAAACACTTAACTCAAGAAAACCTTCACTATTTCACAGCTCCTCATACTGATTTCACAGTCTCTTTTAAATCTTTAGCTTCAGCAGAATTGGCACCCACAAGGGACAAATCCATAAGGGGAACAGCAAATGGGGGAAAAAAAAAGGCAAAACAGATGCCAGTACAGTCAGATGGTAAAATATGACAGTGGAAAAATACCAGCAATATTTTAATTAAGGGGGCTGATGATCACAAAACAGGATTAAGTTATTCAGACCTCATCAAAACTTAATTTCTTTAAAAACTTCTCACTATTTATTCAATTAATGAGCTGCTACACGTTCTGTTTTATTGTGTGCCCCGAGTGATGTCAAGATCCCGAGGCTATATGTGTTGGAACATCAGACACGTGCTCTAACCCAGTTCTTCCATCTTCCTGCTGTAATGCAAACTGATAACTTACCTTGCGTTCCCTTTGAGCATTCACAATGAATTAATGTTTTAAAATGTCACCGTCGTCATCGGCTTATGCTCAGTCCTTCTTGATCCCTTAGTGTGAGACTGCGTGCTCTGCTATAACTTCACAATGTACTGTAAACTCCTGTCTAGTTAAACAGGTGCTGTCGTACACCCGCGAATGTGTCACCGTCCAATCAACGCACCTTCCCAATACCTGTCCGTCTTTACCAGTCAGACAATGTTGACTCTGCAGAACGCAGTATCCAAACCATCTCGACATCTCAACGGTTCTGAAACTGGTTAAAAAGGTTTGGCCAAAACGAGGCTGAACTATACCTAGAAATCTGCACTACTGAAACGAGGCTAATATTGCGAACGGCGATCTAGGGCGGTACTTTACCAGCAAAACCTCTCACTTGGCAAAACCTGCAGGGTCCTCAGCAACTAGTTCAAGCCCTGTGGTAACGGCACTATGCTCTAATGTACCTTCATAATCAGAGCGACCTGTGGGGAAGACTCCAGTGGCGGAGAGGTAGATGAGCAGCACGCTGTTGGCGGGGAGCTCCTGGGGAAACAGAGGCGAGACCAGCACAGTTTGAGTCAGGACACCAGACGCCCAGTGATGCAGAAAACAGCCTCGATTAAACATCCCGCAGACGAGACAGAACAGGGCAGGCCACGCGCGTCTGTGCCATTTAATCCTCCCAACAAGATTATCTACTTATCGGTCAAAGCTCGAGTTAAATTAGTTCGCTCGAGCGTTTGTCGCCGATTCCGGAGGAAAAAACAGCCCCAGGAATACCACAGACAGGGGCTGAATGAAAATATTCAGCCCCTTTTGAAATTTTTCCACAATTTCTTACGTTGCAGACCCAAATAGAAACACATTCCTCTACAACGTCACAGAGAAAAGAACATTTTATGGGGTGCTTAGCAGCTAGGAGAACTGCTGTCAGTAAAAGACCTTTGGTTGGCGAGAAACGTCATGGTCCACTAGGACAACCTCAGACATACAGCCCGAGAGACACTGGAGTGTCTTCAGGACAAGGGAGTGAATGTCCTTGAGGGGTCTGGCCAAAGCTCAGCCTTGAATCCACATGGGCAAGGCTGACCAGAGACTTACCCACGGAAACTCAAAGCTGTATTCGCTGCAAAAGCTGCTTTTACAAAGGACCAGCCAGCTGAACTCGAAATACAGATGCCAGATTTGTCACAGTCAATACCACAGACTGTGCCATCTCTGCACAGTGGGTTTAACAGAGTGGCTGCTCTCCTGCTAACAAACTCTTCCCCGTAAGGAGATCTGAGCGATGTTACGCCATCTCTTGACTCTAGCTGTCCGGAGCCCTGTGCAGAGCTGATGTGTTGCACAGCATGTCACTTATTGAGCTCTGGCGTACAAAAAACGCTACAAAAATCGATTTTTGTCAAGTATTCAAATTCCTCAAAGGCACTGACAATGTCAGTGCAGCAGATCTGTGCGGGACGAACGGTGACACATGAACCAGAGGACACGGGGGGGAAAACCGTGGAAGTGCACTTAAAACTGAGAACAGGAGGCACCTCTTTACGCAAAGGGTTGTGGGAGTGTGGAACAAGCTACCCAAACATGTGGTTGAAGCCTTGGCTACTTTCAAGAAACAGCCAGATGAGGACCTTGGATTAATGAGCTAATAGCTACCCAGCGTTAGGATGGGCCTGGCGGCTTCCTCTCATTTCTAACCTTTCTTGTGTTCTGCTGCATACAGAAAATCAAGAGCGAGAGGCAAAGGAGTGTCCCCATACTGTACATTTCTGTGCTGTGCTGGCAGAGGAGAGCAGGCAGATGTCAGACCTTGAAGGAGGCGGAGAGGAATGTGTAGAGCTGGCTGAAGGTGGGCTTATACAGCAGGTACTTGTGAGGGTTCTCCCTCTTGGCCGGCTTCTCGCTCGTCTCCTGCGGGGAAAGAACAGCCCACGCGCGTGACGAGTCAGGCCGGGGGCTCCTTCGCGCTGAGCACTCCTCCCTCCCCCATCACATCACACCCACTCTCGGAAGGTAAACCTGCAGAGCGCAGACCACCTCAGCAGCCGTGCTCGCGATAAGACAGACAGCACCGTTCTGAACACAGCAAGGCGGTGTTTATAACCAAGTCAGTGAGGAGCATTTATCTTGACTGGCACACAAATTAACCTGGCTGCCTCCAATCAGTCATCAGAGCAAAACAGGGGTGTAATAAAACAAGAGTGTATGACAAGAAATCTGGCGTGCACACATCTTGCCAACAATATATACACATACAGGGTGCTATATTGCATCACAAATGAAACAGTTTTAAGGTTAAAAAAACTGGTGTGCAGCTATAAATATCCAAATTGGTATTGCTGAAGGTTTATACCTACAAAAATGCTATAAACCTCTGACATTGGCCTTAATCAGGATTAGTAATAAGTCGCATCTACTGTACATAACACGTTATCTCATAAAATGTTTGTTTCTACATTTAACACATCATTGCATTCATACGGTGTCCTCCCAAAAATAACAGTACAGTTTATGGTTACGCACACATCACTGATCTTGGGCAGATTAGCTTAAAGTATACTGACAAGCACACACTGGCTGTGCACTCCAGAGCTGTCAGCTTCTAAACCTCTCTCAATCACAGACTGACAAAAACAATTTGCACGCATACAACACTCGGTCTCTAACACACCCACTGTCGGAAGTCTCACAAGGTCTCAGAGAGCGACCTCAAAATCTGCACCACGCTCAGCAGAGGAATGTACTTTCTGATTAAGTACCTTTGAGCCAGTGCAAAACAGGAGCTGAAAATAATGAAAATAATGAAAATGACAGTAGCATTTTTCAATGATGATCAACTGCTCCATCATTAATATGTTACAGATCACAGGCAGAGTGGTTCAGCTAGTGAGCCTTCACTGAGGTTTTGAACTCTGCAAACTGAGGTTTTGAACTTCTGCAAAGCCTGTCACTCGAGGACAGGTTAGCATCAGTGATCCAAGTTAAGCTGGCAGCATCAAATCATGGCAGTTTGACAACGCCTGACCAGTTTTTACCAGCTCCGTTGCCTGATCTGGTTTTCCTCCTGGATGAGCATTATTATTTAATTCACTGATGTCTGCATTGGTTTTATTATTCTTCTGAAAACAGGCCAAAATGTTACTTTAAGCCTTCGATTAGTTACATGAGTGCTTAACAGAAATGAAATCCTGATGACTCAAGTCTAGCTTCAGGTTCAGGGTTCAAAACTAATATTACTAAGGAATAAGTGGCATGATGCCGATTCGTGGAAACAGTTTTTATTCAATTTGCACCACTCACCAAAGTGCCTGGCTTGTTCATCTGCGTGGCCAAGTTCACTGGCTCTCTCTCCAGGGCCTGGAGCATTCGGAACATGTCAATCGTCAGCTCACTGAATTTCACCTGCAAAGCACACATACGCACACGGTCAGGGAAGGCCTGTAGCCTGCCTGGACAGACTGACAGCGGCTCTCTTTTTTCTAAGATCTGCAGGGTTCAGGACTAGCTAGAGCAATTTAATGCTCAGTGGGCATTGCTTAAGTGTCTTAAGAAGCATGGTAGGGTTGTTTTGAGAAGAATAGTTAAAAAATGTATTTGTTTATTAAACTTTATTAGGAGCATAAAGGCCTTAGAATGACTAATTGAGGAGACTTTTTTGGCAAGCAAGCGGAGTTCAATGCCGGTTTGAGTGCAGGCTCTCTCAAGAGGCCGTGCACACTTTGTCAAATGCTACTGAAGGCTGTAGTTCAGCCTGCCGTAGAACATCGACACAGACACCCTCATGTCTTTACGCCCACAGTTAGCGATGCCAAAGGTCTGGAAGGGGTATAAAATGAAAATCATTGCCAAGTTTTGGGAAAAAAACAGCCTGACACCATTTTGCAGAGATGTCCCGTACCTGGTTGGCGCAGTTGCCGATGATGAGGGCGTCTGCCAGGGTGAGCTGTCCCACGATCATGCCCTGCTCCAGCTGCGGCACTCCCCCCTCCTGCAGCCGGTTGGAGGTGATCACCACAGTGTTGTCGTC